TTGGTTTTCCAGCAGAGCACTTCCAAGAAATCCCACTGGTGATGAAAGTTCCTAGGTAGACAAAAATATCTGAGGTTCAGGCTGTAGAGCAGCCACAGCAGAATACAGTCTTGAAAGAGAAGCAGGTCTGGGAACACTGCTACGGAATGTCCCGTACTGGCCATCAGAGAGCATCTAAATCAGGCAAGAAACAGGCACCTGGATTAGCATCATCCTCAGTCATTTTTCTTTCCCAGAGGAAACAAAAACCCCTTGAAGTCCAGCCCGCCAGTGGCAGAGGCATGTTTTCTGTCCAGGAAAAGAACAAAGCCATGGGAACCTGGCAGATAATCTCTGCTACGATATAGTCTTACCCGTGGCTGAGGCAGGAGACCACCTTGCAAATTGGTTCAGTCAGGTAGAAAATGGAGTTTCATGAGTGAATGATGCAAAGCAAAGACTAATAGTATTCATTTCCCTGAGCGCTGCTAAGTGTGAAAGCTGGAAGCTACTAAACAGGACTCCCTAGATAGGAAACTGCAAGGACCAACATTTAAGTAGAATTTAATACAGATAAGTCACTTTTATCTCCTGCAGGGGACCTGTATTGCTAATTTACTGCCAAGTTCCTTTCACATTTCCTTTTATTTGGGACCATATTTCTCAGAGTAGGATAGCAACAGCCACACTAGTGTACTATCTTTAGTCTTCTAAGTCAAGATTGGTGACTGTAGGCACCCACCAGTGCTGGATGTAACCCAGAGCGGCTAGGAAAGAGGGGGACCAGTGCTGATTGCTGGTAACAGACAGCTGCGCGTACTGCACTGCAGCGGTTTGGGGGGGCCTTCATGCACAGTCCTAAGAGTTTCTACAGTCCCTGGCTGCTTTCTTCACAGCACAGGAAACATTGGCAAGTGCCTCGATGCTCTTGATTAAAGGTTAGACTTGCCCTCTTGGAATGTGGTTCCGTTTCTTGCACTCACTTCAAAAAGGGAGAGTTTAAAAGATCCAGGAGCAATTGTTAAAAGCAATTACTGTGGTTGTCTAAGCCTAATTTACTCACACTCCTGAAAGAGAAGTATGAGTGTAGCAATATCAGTAAAAGCCCAGGATATGGTTCCTTGTTGCATCAGTAGGAGCACAGACTCTCCGGGGGACTTCCCACAGTGCAGATGAAAAACACGAGGGGAATTACCATCTCAGAAATACATCCTCCTCCTCCTCCTCTGAGCCCAAAGGTTTCAGCAGACCTGTCCACGAGTGTGGCATTGCTTTAGCCTTCTGCAGGGTTTACTGTCTCTGAGCTTCTGCCGTGGTGATCACAGGGATCTCATCCTGTTTCCAGTGCTCCCAGAAGGTGACTTTCCTCCCTCCCGGCTGCCAGCTCCTGTGGGTGGGTATCCAGTAGATGGCATCCGCACCCAACACTTGTGCTGGAGCTTCACCTTCCTGAAGGCTTCTCTTCCGCTTTATTTATCTCAGGGTCTGTTTCTCCGTTAATGCTTACTTGTCATTTGAATGTTTAATGCCCTCTAAGCAATTTACTTTAAAGTTTCACAATATTCACTGGTTTAGTGCACCTTTCACTATTCTTATTCCTTCCCAAGAATAAAGATCACTTATCGTTCCTCTGTGTTCAGTGGCATAGTGTGTGGTCTTTTACATAAGGACCATCAGAAAATAGAAATATTAACAAAACTATGAAAAAAATACTTGAGATCTGTCCATCTCAACAGTGGAAAATATATGGGGTATGGGCTGGGAGTCTAAGAAATCAGAGCACGTCACACCTCCATAACATTTATAATTGGGAAAAATAGGTTTTGTGGGAGAGAACAGGAGTGCTGAGTAAGTTCAAGTAGCATTCCCTGACAGCCTCGCTTTCCAGCCCAGATATCTGGCAAGCGGAGGCAGTGGGTTTGGGTGTTACAGTCACTCTCCAACAATGGAAGTGTTGCAAAATATGTAGCACCACATATTAAAAAGGGATTAGGAGTGGGGAACCACAATGAGTAGGAAGACAGGGGCAGCCTTTGAGCAGAGCCTCAGGCACTGTTGCAGAAACATGTTTTCTGGAGCGGGATTACAGCTTTGTTGCAGGCATTGTTTGCCTGACAAACCAACCCATAGATACAATCCCCAGCTTCCACACGTCTGTGGAAATCCTGCTATGCCCCGGACTCCAAGACCAACCTTCAGACCTCACAACACTGCTGAATATAAATCAAGTTCTCACGTGCCAGTGAAAATGCAGGGGATTATGAGTTGTGCCCCCTACCCCTGCAGGCACCGAGGATAACCAAGTGGAACCCAAACTGCTGTGAAGTTTGGCGTCGGAGGTTAAGAGACCCAGTGGAAAAGAAACTTCTGCCCAATCTCTATCATGTTCTAAATCTTCTCTTCTCAGGTTTCTAAAGCTTGGATTACACCCAGGAATAGACTGGTGTTTATTAATTAATTCCCTTTGGGGCTGTTCAGAGTCATATTTAATAACAGTCTTATTCTGGGTTTGTTGGTCCAGTGTTGCCATAAGGATGATAAGCAGGAACCGGTGTGGTGGATTACTCTGGCTCTGGCCCATGGTCTGTGTAATCCAGCCTCGACAGTGCCCAATCCAAATACCTCAATCAACAGGGCTGGATCCTTTGCAGTAGAGAGTTACGGAGTCTCTGCCTCACTGAAGAGGTTCCGCCCAGTCTGAGTCATTAGTGGCTGCTTTACATTCTGGAACATGAGGTTTACGTCCCTCCTAAACGTAATGGAAAGGTGGATAATGCAACCCACAAAACTCTAGACCTCAGTAATTAGACACCCACAAGATAATTACGCCCTGTATAAAAAGAAAAGTTTAAAAAGTCATTGCGAAAGTAATTCTTATCTAGTTTAAAAATCCTGCCTTTCAGTGCCTCTGGCCAAGTAACACCTTGCTTTTCTAGTCTCTCTTCCTTCAGCAGCTCTCAAAGCCCATTGCAAAAGAGGACACTGCCATTGCCTTCACTTAAAAAACGTAAACCAGATGAACCTGAGCTCACCTTGCTGCCCGTCACACAGACCTGCCGCAAACCTGGGACAGATTTTGCCCAAGTCCCGCTTGATGCTGTGCCTTGCATCATGACAAACCCACTGCAGAACAGCTGTTACCTGATAGTCTTTTCCCTTACTCCCATTTCTAGACTAAAAAAATACCCCCAAACTCCATACTTTCATTTTTTACATCCTAACTTACTCTAAACACCTCCTTCTTCTCCTGGATTATCATTGCAATGCAGTGACCAGAGGGAGCACAGACCTCCCTGCACTCTCCTGCCTTCGGCTCACGTCTTGGCAGGAGCACATGAGACGTTTCGCAGCCCATTCCTTTGCCTCCCTCTCTATTTCAACTCAGCTTAATACCAAACCACAAAGATCACTTTACTCTTAGGAAGGACATTTTGATTGAAGTTTCTACTGGACCGTAAGCCAAGATTTAGTTGAATGCTACAAGGACAGGACATATAACTTCCTAAAAATGGTGGAAGAAGCTAAATTTATTTCTTAAAATTTCTTAAATTGAGTTTGAAGGTAAAAAGTGAGTGAAAGGCTGGACAGTAATTTCTAAAATAGCAGTTTTCTAGAAGGCAGCCTGAGTACTGTCTCTTTAAGAGACTTTGATAAACATACTTTTTAACAGAAAATGATTCCCTGTTAGTTTTAAGGATAAACCAACAAACACAGAAAAAGTCATACTAAGAAACACTCAAAGGTGACCCATGTTTGCAACAGCCCCGCAAATAAATAGTGCTGTATGCTCGTGTGCTCTCTGCATACAGAGAGCCCTCACTGCCCACCGCTGTGCTGCTGAGTGGGGCCACTGCATCTACAGGCAAAGAAAACACCGAGGACATGTACCAGGCTCCTCCTGCTCATTAAATGCACTTTATGGCTCTGCTGAGCTAGTTCCTGACGAGTGACGTGCCCTGTGTCTGCAGGGACAATGACAGCAGTGAGAACACGGTCTGGGGGCTGCGAGGACCCCATCCTTTGCAACCATGTCACCACCATCCTTCTGAAGTATAAGCAGGCAATTTCAGACACTGTTTTCTCTGTAGCCAAGTGCTTCAGTACCTCCGCAGACATGCAGCTGTGCACACAGCTGTCCCAGCAGTGGAGGGGACCCTCGCTTTACGTTGTGGCGTGCCCAGGGGCTGAGCTAACCACAGGAGTACCCTGGTGTACGCACCAGTGAGCAGGACAGTGTCTCTGCTCTCTCCTCTGCCAACATGCAGTTCAAAGGCTGAATCCGTGCGTTTTCTCATTTTCCAGGCAAAGGAGGACAGGGCGACAGAGCTTCAGGTAGGAAGGGGCAAATTAGAGTCTACTCCTGCTCTAAGGTAATCTAGGATAAACTTCGTATGGCTTGAAACAGTGTCATGAACACCCAGAAAGCTGAGAGGGAAAAGATATTATTTTTGGCTGAAGGTCTTTATAGCTGATGCAGGAAGTCTCTCATTAGTTACTCATTGCCTCGGCAAGTCTCATAAAACAGCCAGCAGAGCCCAGCAAATACTTTTCTTCAGTGTTCTGGGAGCTCAGAAAGCCAGGAATTGAACGAGGCCTTGAACCCATTTTATGGACTCACTTCTTACTGAGCTACCATAAAATATTAAAATTTAGACCTTATAAATACGGTGGGGAAAGAGCTGTGCCTTCCTTAGCAGAAGCAGCCTCTCCAGAGACCTTCCCAAGGTAAGTCCGGTGCTACACAACCCAGAGACAGGTTCCCCTGATAGACAGGTGACTGCAGACAACGAACTCATGCAACAGGGATTAAAGACATAAAACTCCTTCGATTCTGCTCTGAACTGGAAAAGGCCCTGCAACAAATCGACTTAGTTTATTCCCTGGTGACCCTGTCCCCCTCTGCGAGGGCTCTCCCCAGGGTGTCTTGAGGGCAGCAAGCAATTAATACCGTGAGCCCCGAGCAGACGCAGCAACGCTGTGACCCCTCTCCAACAGACACCAACCAGCTGGGCCCCTCCGAGATGGCACAGAGAAGCAGCCTCGCCGTCCCCTATGAAGTGCCTGTCCTTGCCGTTTGCTTTTTGGCATGCGTAGTCACAGGTAAGCAATGGAAAAAATCCGTCGTGGCTTTGTCCAAGCCCCATCACACCAACATGCGAAACTGTCCGGGGTTGGGCAGTGCTGGGGTGATGTGCCACACCAGCAACCCAGCTTTCAGATGTTGTGGAGGTCATCTCCTGAGTACCGTCTGAAAACTGGTCTCTGATTTTGAGAGTAGCAGAGAAGGGAATGGGGAAGCTTCAGTGTTTTCCAACGTTACTGCAGCAGCTGCACAGAGATGACAAGGCCACCGTTTTCAAACCCGCTCTAAGCAGTGAAAAGTGTGATGGCTTTGGCCACCTGGGAACACCAAGGAAGAGACAGGGAGCTTCAGACTTCTTATATTCACAGGGCTAGAGTGCCTTTATATTCTGAGCTGTATTTTTAGTTCATTAATCTATGACTACAGGAGGCTACAGTAGCAAGTTTCAGCCCATTACAAAAATTTATTTCCCGTACTGGTTCCTCATTTTTAGTATGTCCTGAGGTTTGTACATTAGACAAACTGCAGCTCTCCAACAGCTGGACTCAGACTGGCCAGGGTACGGCTGAGGAGCTGATTAACTAATTTATATTCCAAGCGCATTCAGCTCCAACCAAAAACCAGTGTATCAAACTGTGGGCACAAAACCAGAGGGCACAGGTATGCTGCAACTGTGATTTGCAGCAAGAGGGTGAGCAAGACTGGCAGGATGGGGATGATCTTTTGCTGTGTGTGTTACATGGTCACTGCTGGTTTTCAGACCTTTTCGTATTACAGATCAGGCTTTGGAATTCTTGCAGTCCGTTGCAAAATCCCGACTTTGATTTTAAATAACTGTGAAGGGAGCTTTGTGATGAAGACAACTTCTTGTCTCAAAAACTAAAGTGTCCCACCTGAAAACACCTGTTAGACTGAAGCCTGAAACTCTTAGTCCCTCCTCCAAGGTCGAGGCCTGGAGAAGCTAGCAGGGCAGCTTTTGTAGGAAGGGTACAGCTTAGGATGCTTAGTGCCCTCGTTCTCCTTTTCCAGGTTTGGAGTTGTCTGTGAATAACCACGCTGCTGACTTCTCCCTGTCTACGTCGGCTGGCCCTCCCGTCTCCCTCTCCTGCCTAGTACAGAACAGCAGCCAGGCTGAGGAGCTGCTCTGGTATCGAGAAGGCGGCAAAGTGGATCTGAAAGATGGGAATAAAGTGAACGTCAGTAACATCTGCATATCCCCAGTCACCAAGTCTGACAATGGAGTCACCTTCACATGCAAGCTGGCACGGGACAAGTCTGTCCAGGTGTCTGTGATCCTGGATGTCCAGTGTGAGTTGCAGTGGTGGATATTTGTGCAGAATGGCAGGGGTGGGACGAAATAATGGGCTGAGCACCTCCGTGTCTGGGCGCTAGCTGAAGGCGGGGTGTTTTGCACCCTTGTACGCTGTCTTCACCAAGAAAAAATGCGTTTACGAGGTGATAACTCACGTGACAAGACACTCCCTTTCCACAGTGGTGCTTATGGCCTGATCTAATGCCTCTTTTATAGGGAGTGGGTGGGCCCTTAAGTAAGAAGATGTTCTGGATATGTCCCTGCCTCCACCTAGATTCTTTCCCAAGGATGCAAGTCAGGGCAGAGGAGTTGCCGTCTCTGCCACTGATTGCCCTGCTGATTCCCGGGGATCATGAAAGGCTGCACAACTGTGGTGTGTTACACCACTGAACAAGGTGCACAAGGGATGTGTAAAGGGAATTTATTTTGCATTAAATAGTGAGCAGCATTATTAATGACCTGTTGAACTGCATTACTGTGAACAGTTCCTCCCCAGCTGACTGGAGAAGAGTCCCTCCAAATCGAAGAAAACAAAGATGTTACTCTGACCTGCAATGCCAAATCCAACCCTCAAGCCCAAACAGCTTGGTATAAGAACAAGAACACCTTGATCCTACAGCAAAATCGTTACCAGCTGTACCAGACTAGTGAGGTCTTTCAGCTCTCTATCAAAACAGTACAGAAGTCTGACAACGGGACCTACACCTGTGTGGTGAAATCTGCTTTGGGAGAGGGGAGAAAGGATTTCCACCTGATAGTTGAAGGTAACAAGGCTGCTGCCAAACAGTAAGATTTACAAATAACTCTCCATCCTCTTTTATTATGATAGCAATCAATTTCCATTAAGGAGTGTAAGTGCAATGTGGTAAATTCCCCACGTTAACTTTTGAGGGCACAACGACAGCAAGGAGCATTCCTTGCACCTGTGCCTGGCACCACAGCACCAGGAAGGGCCTTTCCTGCTCTACCTGTTATTCAAAGGCATTTGGCAAGCGTGACCTGAGGCAGGCTCATCCCACTGTCTCACATCCCACGCTGACAGGGCAAATTCAAGTGTGGTTTAAAGCACCTTAGGTCTTACTTGAAGCTTCTTACTCTGACCATAGTATTCTGTCATGCCTAAAGAGCTGCATAAGGCAAGAGAAGTTGTCCTCCAGAAGTGACTATGGCCCTGTGGACAACAGGGAGGTGGAAGCCTTTCTGGGGCTGGATGCTCAGGTCTCAGACAGGTGACGCTAGGTGAGGTGACCCACCAGGCATCCATTTCCCACCCAGTGTCCAGGCCCCTCTCATTTCTCCACTCTCAGAACAGGGAGGAAACCAACGTTAGCTGTATCAGTGATACTTCTGGACAACCTTATTTCCATGCGTAAGAGTGCCTTGGGGATCTTCTTCAGGGACCGATGTTTCAATTCTTCCTTCAGTTCACTAAAATACAGGCTTGGCTCCCTTCTTTCCAGGGGACTAATGCACACAGTCAGTCTGCAGACAGCAGAGAGGGCACAGTTCAAATCAGCAGTGACAGCCATGGGAAAAGAATTATGTCTTTCCGCAGCTCCGTGAAATGTTCTGGTTTATATGACTGTACTAATCTATCACGTATTCAACCTCCCCTCTCTCTCTCTTGACAGATAAAAAACCTGTTTTTCCCACAGAGGCTGTTATTGCTGCTGCCGTGGTAGTTACACTCACAGTACTTTTTGGAATTGTGGCTCGAAAAGATAAAATTTTTAAGGTATGGAAAGCGCTAGTTTCTTAGGAAAAAACCAGTATTGTTTTGTTGCAATGCTCTGGGTTTTTCTACCTTTTCTATTCTACTTTGTAGTCTGTTCCTATCCACTGTTAAAGAACTGCTACATACTACCTCCTGCTCTAGAATTACCAGTAGATGAATCAAATATTAGATACTTTTAAGGTGGAAAGCATTACACACTTGCAAAATATTCATACAAATATCCCTATGGCCGGGAAATACAAAAGATAACAAGACTGTTTCTTTATTTGCAGTGCTTCAAAAGATCAAGTGAAACAGCTCTGTAAGTATTTGGCTGCTTATTCATGCAACTTCTAAATGAACCCCCTTCTTTAAGCCTTGGCAGAACCTGGGAAACAAAAAAACACTCAGCACGCTAAACCCAGCCATACTGAATTACCCGAGCTCTTGTTCTGGCTGGCTAACATGAGCCCGCACCTTCTCTCCCAGCAGAGAGGGGTCCATGGGAACATGGCAGGACACAAGCAGATCCTGCCCCAGGCACGGCACGGCTCCTGCCCTCTCCCCGGCCATCCCAGGGTCCTGGCTACGCCTGTGTGGAGGCAGTGGGGAACAAACATAATGGCGTATCCCCAGCCTGCCGAAAGCTTCCTGGAGCTGAATGGAGCCCAGGTGAATTCAACTCACTTGTTGTTTTTTTTTCCCTAGTAGGTGATTTTTCATTTCTTTTTTTCATCTTGCAGGTAAAGACCACGAGGTTCCTGTGCACAGCCAGAAAACAACATTTCCAGTGGTGGAACTAAACCCTTGAATGAGTTGATGAGATAAAGCACTGAAACAAGTTTTTTGGGGTCAAGTTTATATGGTCTTTTCAAAATATAAGCGTTTGTTTGTGTCTGTCCATTCTAACCTACTGCTTAGAGCACCGATCACGGGGATGGGGTGCCTGAGCTGTTGCCAGATCTTGCCCTCTATGCTTATTCCTACAAGGTACATACGTGCAGTCAGGCATGCGGGTTGTGGATCGGTCTACAGAGGAATCCATACCGGATCGCCACAGACTGCGATGTTGGTGCACGCAAATAAAGTGAGGTGTTGGGCTGGCAGCCACTTTCCTGGCCCCGTCCTACAGTGCCATTCCACAGGGTTTTAGGGGTGGCGGCCACCCAACTTGCTGCCCCTGCCTGGTAATCCTATGGGCATCTCCGCTTCTGTTGGCCAGGGGAAAAGCTGCCCAGCATTTTGCGCTGCTGTTCCACCTCCTATCTCCCTTGGCCGAGAGCAGCCCCCAGGGCTCAGAGCAGCCCCAAATGCTCAATACACAGTGGAAATTTCAGTGTGAATGCTCCAGCACTGCCACAGCAGGAAAACCTATCCCGCCCCCAAGCAAATATGCCACTCAAGCGTTTTTCTGAAGGTCCTGGCAAACTTTTAAGGGCCTCATCATGTCTTGGAATGGTAGATTACTAATACCATCAATGAACACCGGGTGCCGTAAATCTATTTGAGCCTGTGATGCACAAATAACTCTTCTCGGAGGAGCAGGGCTGTTACTCAACAGGAGGCCTCCGCAGCGTGACCTGGAGCGTGTCCTTGACTGACGTCTGCCTGTGCTCAGGGAGGGCCGTCACCCCGCCATGTCGGTGCCAGCTCACGCTCCCAGGTGCCTGGTCTCGACACATGTACAGGGGGTGACAGAGAACTGCAGAGCGGGGGGTGACACCGCGGGGCTACGGCCCCGGCGGCAGCGGGACGGGGACGGGGGGATTCCCCACCGCCGCCTGCCTCCCTCACCCACACAGCCCTGAGGGAAGGCGGCTGCCATAAGCCGCCCGCCAGCACTGCAGCTCCTCAGGGCGAGGAGGAGGTGGCGGGCGGCGGGAGCGCCGCGCGCTGCCTCAGGCGACGCCGCCGAACGTTCTCGAACCGGGGG